TACACAACTAGCTGGACGCACATTACATGTGTACACTAGGTTCTCGAGGTTGGAATGGATAACCAAATCCAAGTCACTATTCGGGAGAGCGGTCCAATGGGCAGTGCTGCTTTCGCCTTGGCACCTGATTGTCCAGCGGATTAAGGAAAAGGATTGCACTTTCACAAGATTGCTCAAGTCCACGGTAACGAACTTTGTGAATATTGATGACTCGTTGGAACTGGTAGCTTCACCTCAAAAGGGATCACCGACTGCTCCGATAGACCCACAACTTCTCTATGCCTTGATTACTCGGGACTCGTCGTATCGTTTGACGGTTCAGCGAATACTGAGAAAAACGGAGGATACGGGCGTTGTGCATGGCGTCTACCTGAATGGACGATAGTGCTTGCTGCGAGTGCGTACCTGGGGTCAACAACTGTGAACGTCGCAGAATAGACCGGGATGAACAACGGGGTAAGAGCAGCACTAGAACTGAGTGCCGAAAATTTAGTGATCGTGGGTGACTCGAGGCTTGCAATCCAACAATACCTAGGGGTGATTGCATGCCGAAAGAAGACGCGCATGGCCAAATTAAACTACCACAAGGAACTGACGTCAAAGTTAAAGTCAGTCAAGTACCTTCATATTTTGAGAAGGGAATTCAATGCAGCCGCGGACTCACTAGCGACGGAAGCACTGGAATCGAAGACATCAAAAGTGGTATTAGATGAAAGCCGAAAACCCGAGTTGACAGGACTCAATCGCATCCGAGAAGTGATCTACGACTCCAGTCAAACCAGAATTGAGGTAAAACCCGTTGCTGAAGACTCAACTCGAAGAATTAGCACAATTTTAGCCTCTCAGCGGATACAATTAGAGCGACGACTGAGAATTGCTATCGTCCAAGACGAAGAGCTAAAATGGATAAATCTGAAAACGGTTTACTTGGAAACTCCGACAAGCTCAAATATAGAGCTGCCCGAGATGCGTGGAAGATAGTAGAGCGATTTCTCTTGACGGACGATAATGTGCTGTATTATATGAACCCGACTCCGCGGAACCAACAAACCAATCAACAGGAATTGAGACTGCGACTGGTAGTTCCAACTACGATGATCCAAGAGGTTCTTCAAAACAACCATGACTCATTGGAAGGAGGACATCAAGGTGTAGTGAGGACATATCAACGAGTGAAGCAAGATTATTATTGGTTTGGCCTTTACGCAGACGTTGAAAAACACGTGAAGTCGTGTCCGGATTGTAGTTCAAGTAAGAGCAAACCCCAGTTGAGAGGATACTCTCCCGGCAACATTCTCGCTGAAAGGCCATTCCAGATTGTGTCGATGGATTTCGTGATTCCACTGCTGAAATCTCGGCAAGGCAACACGGCGCTACTGCTATTCTAGTGTGCTTTCACAGGATTCGTCATCACAAAATCGATGTCGGACACTACAGCATTCAAAGTCGCACAAGTATTCGAAGAGTGCACTTACCGAAGGTTTGGGGCACCATCATTAATTCGGCATGATAGAGACCCTCGCTTTATGAGCGAAGTATTTCAAGCGTTTGCCGAAATGATGCAGTCAAGATCGAGAGCAACTCTGAGTTATCGGCCACAGGCCAATGGGCAGCAAGAAAGATCAGTCAAGACGGTGATGCAGTCCGTAAACGTCTATGCCGAAGACCGACTTCAGCAAGACTGGGACGAGATCGCAGAGCATCTAGTCTTCGCCATTAACAACTCAATGGACACTACCAGGAAGGAAACACCTTTCTACTTGGTTCACGGATGGGATGCCAGCTCAACAATGAAAGCGATGACCACGTCTCTTAGGCACGGAATTCCAAAACAGTCCGAGGCCTTGGCGTGGCGGCGAGAAATCAACCGTCAACAGGAAGTCGCGTGGCGAATGGCCCAAGAGTACCAGCATACCGAGAAATCACGAAGAGCGAGACTTCACAATGACGCATTGAGTAAAATAGAGAAGGCATCGTTGCAAAATGAGGAAGCAGAATACTCGACACGCCAAGACGACGAGAACTCGGCCGCCAGATTGAAAGCG